GCTTCAGCAAATTCTTCTGCAAGTGATTCAAGTTCTCTTTGTAATCGTTCAACCTGGTTATTAAGTTCATTTTTTATTACCAAATAATCCTCATTACTTGATCGAAGTTGTTGTGCTGTATTTTCAAGTTCTTGGACACGTTCTTTATAAGCCAATGATTCGCTTTGAACACTCTTTAATTGATCGGTAAGGTCTTCTATCATTTTACTATCCATAGCAGCATTATTAGATTCTTCTACAAGTGATTCAAGTTTTCTTTGTAACTGTTCAATTTGGTTATTAAGTTCATTTTTTATTTTCAAATACTCTTCGTTACTTGATCGAAGTTGTTGTGTTGTATTTTCAAGTTCTTGGACACGTTCTTTATAAGTTAATGATTCGCTTTGAACACTCTTTAATTGATCGGTAAGGTCCTCTACCATTTTACTATCAATAGCAGACCTTTGTAAATTATTTGATTCTTTTTCCGCTGTTAAAAGTTTAGCCTCTAACTCTTGAATAGTTTTACGAAGATGTGAACCAGCGGACTTTGATTCTACAAGTTTGTTCTTCATATTAGTTAGTGAATCAGAATCCTCTGAAACATCAGTATCCGATATTGAACCGTTTAATTTAGTCTCAAGATCCATTATAGTTCGATTATTAACAATTTCAGCTTCTTTGGTCAATGCTAATTCTGTTCTTAATTTAATGAGGTTTTCATCAATAATACAACCATTTTCAATTAAACGAGCTTCTAATGCAGTAATTTTTTCACGTTGAGCAATTTCAACCTTTCGCATACTTTTTATTTCATTACGAAGATTTTCTTCTTCAGATTTTAAAGTTTTTAACCGATTTTGTGCGAGAGATTCTTTTTCTTTTGCATCTTTAAGTTCTTGTAAAAGTTCACCTGAATTGTTACTAGGGTCATTACTAAGTAATCGAGTTTGAAGTTCTTCAATTTCTCTTGAAAGATTTTTATTATGTTCTTCTAATTGTATTAAGTGAACTTTAAGCTCTGAAACCTCTGCTTCTTTTTCTTTCAATTTTTGTTGCATCGCACCCTTATCAACCAAATCTCGTTTCAAATTATCTATAAGTTCGTACTTTCGTTTAATGTCAGTAATGAGTATTTCTAATTGACTTTGTATAGAAGAAACCAATTCTTGTTCAGCTTTTAAATCTTGACCGTTATTGGATTTACTAGAAAGATCACGTTGCAGATCCGAAAGTTTTGTTTGAAGA